CCGGGGGGTACAAATCAAATTTTTATCATGTGAATTGTAAGATACCCGGGTACCTTATACGGCGTTTTACGGTAGTTTCAGACCTACCCTAAAAAGTTGAACAATTTAACATCCTATTCAGAAAATCAGCCTATCGCTGTACATTCGAAATAACGCCCATGGGCGACTCGAAATAGCGCACAGATGCCCGCTATTTCGAGATTTTACGGTATCGGTATATACACATAAATCATAAGAATGGAAAATTTTAATTCATATTCGTTACACAATTTCAAAATTTGATTGCTAATAAAAATTTTTTTTAAACTGGTGTTTTAGATGCAAAAATATAAGTACTGTTCCTAACAGGGTTCTAACTAATCCTAACTTTCTTCACTATAGTAATAGTATTTTAGAGGCCTGTTTTAGAACCCTATCAGGAACAATTTGTAAGTCGATCGGAATAGTACTAACGATCCATCAGGAATGGCATTTTCATTTTAGATGCTGTTAACTAATGTTTTTCTATTAGTTGAGATAATACCCTAGTAAGATCGCCCCTCTTAACCCGGCCAACTATTCTAAACAAAAATTATTGTATGCTATCATTGAATAATCTCTGGTAAAATTTATCAATATTGACTCGAAGTTAAGTCGATCTTGGTTGCACAACTAACCTATTTTCCTGGCCCTAATATTAAATTACAAAGTTACAAAGAAAAATCACGTAATTCACATTCTTATGCTTTTTTTCAATTTCCAGAAATCGAAAATATTAACGTCAAATGCACAGGAATGCGAGTTAAAGTGTTGCAATGTGCCGAGAAACCCATGTTCTGCATTATAGGTACCATAATATTTCAATACGCAAATTTATTGTATTGGGCTTTTTTTTTTATATAAACTGTATATATCGCATGAATTTATTTTTATTATTTTTATTGGAATGGATTGAGACTTTGATGACTCCATGATGTACAATAGGATGTCATAATATAGATTACTATAAAATAAATACTATTGTTTTTATTTGGCGACACTCGTATAAAATTTAAAATTTTCAGTTGTCAAATTCAGTGACCTTAATGAAACTGTACATATATTTACTTGTTTAATAAATTTGGATAATTTAAATCATATATAGCTCTCTAAGTAGGATTAGGATAATTATTATGTGTCATATCATATTCAACGTATTGTGGTTGAACATCATGTTGCGCGTAATTAATTACAGGCACGTTACCCTCATTTTCTGGGTAATGATTATATGGAGCACTATCTGCCGACGTCATATCATATTGTTGCAGTTGTTGAAATACCAGTGGTTGAATATAATGAAATGTAGTCGCAGGTGTCTCGGAAGAATTTTGAGAAGATACATTATCAAAATAATTACAGTGGTATCCCTCAAGTTTAGTTGGATTGTTGTTATCAGAATAACGTAAAACTTCTCGAGTTTTGCCATCATGAGTTTTAGTAATTAATGAAGTATGTTTAATTTTATGTTTTCGATAACAACTCAATGCAGAATATCCTATAATGAATGCTAAAGCAAAAGATCCAATGATCATACCAATAAGCATTGGCAAGCTGATATGGGAAGAATTATCTGGAGCATCTTTACAAACATAATAATAATAAAATATTTAACATATGTTATATGTACGTTGGTTTTTCAAAATTAAAGTAGAATATACTTGCTTGATTGATATAAAATCCAATCATAGGAAGTTGTATTAAGAAAATAAATCATATTATTAACGCTTGATTGTTTGGAATTAGACCCGGTAACATTACCTATATGATTAATTTAAATGAATTAAAATAATTCTTGTAATATTTTAAGCACCTTCTACGTATAAAGAAATGTATACCAAATAACAAGATCATATAATCATCTACCATTACCGCAGTATGAGCCACAAGAGATGGTGGTGTACTGGATAATGGAGTGATATTAGGTGTTGACCATTGAAATTGAGTCGATGAAACATTAAGGACGGCAAGGTCAGGTAAAACTCTGCTATTATCTGTACCATTGGAACCGCCATAAATAATAATTTTACCTTCGTATGCTTTAAAAGGAAAACCGTAATGGTAAGAATACTATCTCAAAATATTGTTTTAATACGTACAGGGAATTTCGATTACCTAATACAGCTGAATGGTAAATACGAGAACCAATAGGAGTATTAATGAATTTAGCATTCTAAATAACAATGAAAATTTAATTAAGTTTTAACGATAATAAAAAACAATTCAACTGGAAAAAAATTACATTTGATGACCATTCTGCTGAACTCGTATTGTATGTCCAAATCTATAGTCACATTGATTTGTTAAGTAGGCAATAAATTTAAAATTAACAACTTTATGTATATACCTGACTCATATTCGCTAACGTGGGAGTGCTAGAAGTGTTATTCAGCTCCCAACCGCCGATAAATACTATTATGCCAGTTTTTAATAAAGTAGCAGTATGTCCAGATATTTTTGAAGGACCATAATTAAATGGCTTATATGACCATGAAAAATGAATAGAATCAAAAACTATCATTTCATCAAACCATTCGGATAAATCAAAAATAGATGATTGTCCACCAAAAATATAAATAATTCCGGATTCAGGATCATAAGATAAGGATGACCCTATGCGTCTTTGATTTAAAACATCCGAAGTCGTTATATTAGACCAATTTCCAGTATTTGTGTTAAAGCTATATGCTATTGTATCATTTGTATTATTAGAAGAAACCATTATGCCACCAATAAGAAATATTATAGATTCACTGACACCACAAACGGTTGCAGTTGCCCACGCACTCGCTATTGGAGCAGGAGAGGGATCACTCCACCGGGGAGATATAACATCATTAATATTAAAAGAAGTAGATAAATCAAGGTAAAATAGCTCAGAGGAAATAGTACCATTTTGGAATTGACCACCAATAAAATAAAGTCTATAGCCAACTAAAGCGCTAGCAACAGCATAACGACCCTCTGGTTTGGATATTACAACAGATACAAATAAACTAACCATAAAAATAAGAAAGAATAGCATAATTGCTTAAAGATCTTAATGCATTTCAAGAGAGAGAGAGATCTAATACATACTTTTAAATTTTGTATATAAAGAACTCCGATTTATCTAATGCACAATTTTAATTTAAAATGAACTAATTCAGTAAAGCCATGACACTACATTACTGTTGAACGATTACGTAAATGTACGTACGTACACAGTATATAAGATGTACGTACAGACGTGATACTGATACAAAGTTCGTGCGATCTCGATTAACTGACTTATATCGATATGAGTGTCGCTAAAAGAAAACCCGAAAATTTAAATATGATTTATATTTAAATTTTCGGGTTTTCTTTTAGCGACACTCATAAATATATTTATAGATCCTTCGATTTATATATACCCAGTGAAGTTTTAGGACGAGGTCGTCTAAAGCGGAGATAAACCATATGTATGAAGACAGTCAATTAACTGACGATATTGTTTAACCAACCAAAAAAGTAAAATTTTAATATTATTAAAATTTTTTTAAAAAATATCTGATATCTTGTATTAAAAAAAAAATATTAAAAAATTTTATGTTAAAAAATCGCCCACAAAATATTAAAAAAAAACATTCTCAAAATATTAAAAAAAATATTTATAAAAAGGAGTATTTTAACACTCACCGGAGGTGAAATTCACCGGGGTGCTATATCTCGAAAACTGCACTATGAAACAGGGTCGGGTAGGTTAAGTAAAAATGTTCAGGACCCCTGAAAACCTCATGAGAACTTAAATCGGGACCTTATATCTACTCTACATAATATATAAAAAAAAAAAAAAAAACCTAAAACCGCACCCTAACCCTAAAATTCTTATGCCGGTGAATTTCACCACTGGTTAATTTTAAATAAATTCTTATAAAAATTATCTACAAAAAATTATTTACAAAATATCAAAAATATTTATGAACATAAAAAAAAAATTACGAAGAAAATTTTCTAAAATATTAAAATTTACAATCTATCAACCAAAGTATTTATAAAGCTTAAAAAAATTATTATTACAGAGAAACCGCTCTAAATGCATTTTTATAAATGTATTTTTATATAAAATCTCTTTAAGTACACAGTGTAGTCTGAACTTAGCTTATAATAATACTATATATTTTGCTCTTTATAAATATATATTTTCTTTAAATATATATTTTCTAGGTCTTGAGAGGGTGCATTTAAAAGGTTTTTTTATAATTTTTTTTAAAATAATATTACTAATTATACTGTATATAGAAAAATAATATTTATACTAGTAGCTATTAATATTTATTTTTATTTTTATAATATTTTATATTAAAATTTAGAATTAGAATATAGAAAAAATGTGCTTGTCACCGGCGGTGACAGTAACCGGATTTGGGTTAGGGTTGGATTTAGAGTTAGAAGTAGGTTTATTATTTAGTAAATGCCCCAAGAAACATTTTTTGTTAGAACACAAATGGTGGTTTCATAGGCATAATTTTGAGTTATTGCAATTTGTAATTTTTTGAATTTTCTTGTTATACCTAATCTTGCAATCTGATTGGTTCGGAACTGTCACCGCCGGTTACAAATAGATTCGCCCTAGAATATATTATATACTAAAATAGAATTAGATATAAAGATTAAAGATTAGAATATCACTTTTTTTAAAACTCTTTCTGATGATATTTTGGTCAACATTAATTATACTAAACTATAACAAATAATATAGAAAGACAACAAAAAAGATACAGTAATACTTTTGGTCTTGTATAAGCAAACTTGTTGTCAACAAAGTCTACAATATATAAAACACTGAGGAGTAAATATATAAAAATAGTAAGCAGGTTTGTGTCTTAAATTAAGCTTTTGCTTAGTAGACTTCTTTATATATTTAGTATTCAAACCAGAAGGTTTTTCTAAGAACAAGTAGAGGAACATAGGTATCTGATTAAGAATATTTAGTAGAAACTGAGAAACTAGACTGTATAACTGTAAAACTTACAAGAAAAACTATATATTATTTATTGATTTATTACTTTTGTTTGAGAAAATTTTGGTAAAAAAATAGTGTTTTAGAAGTCTTTATCTGAACTAAAAGATACAAGTACTTGTTTAGGAGTGTAATTATCTAACCAAAGTTGAAGTAGTAAAAAAAGTGATGAACATATGGACAGACTATGATAAAGGATTGGTCTTATCAGAATCAGAAACACTTCTGGCAGCACAAAATGAAATACTATAGAAGGCAAAAGTATGGAGGTTGTTTAAATATAAAGATACTGAATCAGGCTCTAGTCACACCTATATAGAAGTTTATAACAAACAAATTAGAATCTACCAACCTTTGGAGTTACAATTCAAATAGTAGTATAGTATTACTAGAATCGATGTAACTTTCTGGATATAACTAGAATTGTTCTGGTCTTGTATAACAATATATTAAGAGCAAGTATAATATAGTAGTATAGTATCACTAGAGTCAGCATAACTCTTTAAATATAATTAAAATTATTCTGTATATTTGTGAAATATGTTCTAAACTTTACTATAGCAAATAGTACTTAAAAGAACAGAAGAAAATACTAAGTAACTATATAATGTTAAAACTTAAGGTATCTGCAGTTAAATTGCAGTAGCAGTAATTAGCTTGAGATACAAGTTAGTAGTATCTGAGCAGAAATGTAAAAGAAAATACCCAACAAGGAAATACCAACTTTATTATATAATAAATCTAACTAGGCAGCAGTTTCTGGCTTGAAATATAAGCTTCTGCAGAACTTGAACCAATATTAGAATACTTTAATAGAAAAAATAACATAGTATACCAAACTGTAAGATTATAAAGTTCTATAACTTGAATATTACCAATTTGAAAGTTGTATAGAAGTGAAAAAGTGGATAATGTGGAAAACAAAGTCTAGCTACATATAGTAGTTTCAGAATATAGAAGTAGTATTAGTTGCAGGTCTGATCTTCTTTACTGATAAGTAGTTTAATAGCAATATCTTTCCAAAGTAGTAGATATTCTAATTGCTAGTTTTGGTCTTGGCTATAGCATGTTAGTGGTGTAATTAGGATATATTTGAACATCTATTAGAGTAGTCAGATAAATAGCAAAACTTTGAGTTGAGTTAATATAGCCTAGTTCTAAATTGTAATATATTTCAATAATTATATATACAATTATGATTGTATCTAATAAAGTGTTATTAGCTTTTCTAGCCAAGTTAAAAAAAAAATTTTGATTTGGCCAGATTTATATATATTAACAAAATTATTTTGAGGTCTAAAACCCAAAATTAAAATTTGAAAATAAAATTGTTTTTAACTTATTTAACTTAAAGATAGGATGTACAAATTTTCAATTTCATATAAAATAGATTATAAATCAACTTTGTGTATATAATATCATATAATTTACATATAAATATTATATGATTTAACCAATTAAAATTAGCAATTTTTTGTACTATTTAAAAAAAACATATAGTGATCTAAGAAATTTAATTATATGTAAAGTTGATTTTTTTAAAGCAATGCATATTGCACAACTTCAATATCATACATAAGCTATTTAAATTATATATTATATAAATTTTATACAAATTAGTTAAGATATTAAGAAGTTTATTAGAAGTATTTTATTTACTATATAAAAATCTAATATACTATATAGATCATATGAAAATGATCTATATATACCTTAATCTTAAAAGATAAAATTTTTTAATACTTTTTTTAAAAAGACAAAATTATAAGAAATATAACTATCTAAATTAGATTTGCTCTTGTATATAAAAATTCTTTTTTTTTTTTTTTTTTTTTTATTAATATAATGTCATAGTAGAAACTTTATTACAAATAGAAAAATAATTCTAAAACTAAAGATTTCTAACTACATTTGTGTTATATAAGG